AACTCAGTTTGTCTGTGCTTCCCAATTGGCTGATCGGGATGGGCACGCAGATTCGGACAACGCTAGATCCGAACTTTCAAGAAGAGCTGGACCAGTCTCCACTAGCGCTGATGATATCAGCAGGGCGTAGCGATGTTTGTGGAGGAACGGGTAGAAGTGGGGATAAACGCTCATTGTCTGGGAATGAGCTTATGAGGAGGAGAAGGAGAGTCGGTTAGGTTTTCACGTTACAGCAGCTCGGCCGACTGCCAGAGAAGGAGTTCGAGGGGCTTATGAACGAGCAACAGCCGAGACTACAGAGGGGAATCAAAGTGATCTTGAAAGACCTTTGGTTGAGCTGGCATAAATGGGTAGTGTATATGAAGAGGCGTGAGGAGGTATTGAGTAGTTGTGTGTAGGCCGAGCAGAAGCTGAAGGAAGAGGAGCTTGCACAGAAAGAGCGCATAAAGGAGGTTGGTTGGGTCGCAATGTGTGTGGGAAAGTATGCACATAGTCAACTAGTACATGTGTTGGTGGCAATAAGAAATTCTTGTTGGTTTGTGTACACCTCTACCAGAATTCGCATGAAAACTTCAGCTGATGAAAGCGAGGATAGATTCCATCAACACTTGTCGCAATGTGAGGTGGAATTACTTTGTTTTTAGGAGGAAAAGTTGAAAAGGCTTAAAGAGAAGGAGGAGATGAAGGTGGCGAAGTGACGAGGTGTTTGCTATGAAGCCTGTTGTCAGTTACAAGCAGCTGATATGAAGAGAAGAATGCAGGAAGAGGCACGTCAACAGAAGCAGCTGGTAGTATGTGTGGGGGGGAGGGTGGGTTGTTGGGAGTAAACAAAGGAAAATATGCACATGTTCAACTACATGTGTTGCTGCCAACACGAAAATTTTTTGTGCATTTCTATCTGAATTCGTATAATTAGTGAGGAAACTCTCGAGGTCAGTTGAGGGAAGCAAATATATATTCCTCCGTCACTGAGTAGGAGAGAGAGCGGCTCAGAGAGCAGGAGCGGCTGGCAAGGGAGAAGGCCAGGGTAGAGGAAAAGTTGGCACGGCAAGCTGCTAAGGAGAAAGCAAAGGAAGAGGAAAGACTGAGGAAGGAAGTATTTGATGGGCCCGGGGGAATGTGGAGGTGTAGCGTGTTACTTAGGAGGAAAAAAATCGGAAGCAAAAAGAGAGGGCGAGTTCTGTGAAGGTGGGTGGGATGTTGACACCAGAATCGATAAAATATAGCAAAAAATATCGAAAAATATCGAAAAATATCGGAAATTATCGGAAAATACCGGAGAATAGAGGAAGATATCGGAAAATGTCGGGAAATACCGGAAAATATCGGGAAATATCGGGAAATATCGGGAAACAAGGTAAAATACCAGAATATATCGGAAAATTACGGAGAATACCGGAAAATTGATACCAAAAAGTGGACGAATCGTGATCTTAGGGCCAAGGAAGGAACGCTTCGGTTGCCTCATCGGGAGGGGGCCGGCGGCAGAGCTTTGTAAGGTGTTGGGAATGTGACGGGTCGGTGGATAGTCGTGTAAAATACATGTTAGAGTTTATAGACATAACAGATTGATGATGTTAAAATATAATGGAGTTTCACCCTAGTGATATGAAAAACATATTTTACGACTGCTACAGGCCGCGAATATCGCGTTTTTCACCGAGTTTTACGCGACTTCACGTAAAATGAGTAGCTGATTGTAGATATATAATGGAGTTTCACCCGTTTTACGTGAAGTGGCGTAATACTCCGTGAAAAACGCGATATTCGTGGTAATATGCAGTAGTCGTGAAATATATATCTTTCCGAATCATTCCAAACTGCAACTACACAAACAGTAATCTCGTATGATGGAGTTTCACCCTAGTGATATGAAAAACATATTGCACGACTACTGCATAGCGCACTGAATATCGCGTTTTTCACGGAGTTTTACGCCACTTCAAGTGAGACGGTATATATTAGTGACATTATGTGTTGCGGTAGATCTCTTCGTTTCTGATCGTCGCTGATGGAGACGTGGCCTCTTCTGGGAAGGACTCGGGCCCGACTGCGAAGAGTAGGGAACAGAGTGGTATCGCGTAGTTGTGGCTGAGCTGTCGGCTTAGTTGAGGAGGTTGTCGGATGTGCTGAACCAACCTTGGAGGGTTGGAAAGGTTATTGGAGAAAAGCGAGGAGAAAATTCAACGGGATGGAGTGGGAGAAATGGCGTAGGTCTTGGATTGGTTTAAGGTGAAGTGGCGCAAAAAAACGATATTCGCGGTGATATGCAGTAGTCGTGAAATATATTTTCGCTAGTGTTTTTCATAGAAGGAGTTATAAGGACTAATAAACAATGGAGTTTCATCCTAGTGATATGAAAAACACTAGTGAAAAACATATTTCACGACTACGACAGGCGTTTTTCACCGAGTTTTACGCCACTTCACGTAAAACGGATGAAACTCCAGTAATTCTTCAAATTTATATTTTACCAATATCATTAAGATGTTGAGCATCCAGTTGAGCAAGCCGCATCGCTGATCTCTCTAAATTCCCAGCTGGGCTCGACTGGATTAGTGGGAAGTGCGGTATGGCTGTCGGTGTCGCAGATTCTCGTCGATTTGTATCGGCGAGTAAGAGTGGTGGCGAAGGATCGCCGAATGCTATTGAGGAGGCGAATGATGTGATAGCTCCATCAGAGATTGACACGAAGGGTGTCACCACAGCGGTCTATGCTTATGGTGATGCACTGTAGTTGCGACTTGCTCACGAACAATACTCAGGCGCGGGCAAATCGGCGGAGTCGAGGGAGCGGTACAGGGGGAGAAGGAAACCTCGGTGTGTGCTTGTGGACCTGGACGAAAGGGAAAGGCCGCCTGTGCAGCTGGTGAGCATGGGAGGTTGTCAGTATTGGCAAATATGTTGGTGACAATTTTGGGAAATTTTTATTGATTCCTGTACATTTGTAGGTAGTGTTGGAGGAATATATGTTCGCTTTCCGCGGAAGTTTGCTCACTTGCTGTGAAAATTTATATACGAATTCGAGTAGAAGTGTACAGCAGAGTGTCCTGAGAAGTTTCATATTGCCACCAACACATGTGGTGGACCATGTGCCCACACTGTTTCTAGCCGGGTTTTTATGAAAACTCCTAAGCTCAGCTGAAGGGAGAGAATGTATATTCCTTTTCGGTGGTCAGATTATGAGCTGCGAATCTAAGGCAGTATCAGGGCGTCATCCATTCGGGAAAGACGCCGCTATTGATTATGAGATGGACAGGTGAGATTATGCGTATGATCGTTGGGAGGCTGTGTGGAGTGTAGTGACGCTGAGTGGGCAGAGCTGGCTGAAGGGGAAGATTTGGGAGAAGATGATGACGTCAGTGAAGATGAGGAGACGGCGAGTGACGCTGATGTGAGTTAGTGGGGTCTGTATGGCTTTGAGAAATTGCGGAGCGAGCGGAGCATATACCGCAACAACAGGCAGCACTTTCGCGTTGTACGTGCGTGCAGAATTATTCTGGTTTAACTACGGGAAGCTAGCAGATAGATCAAACGACTCCTCGACATGCCGAGGTGTAGGCAAAAATCGGAATACTCGATTATACGAACAGCTCGATGAGATATGCATTGACGGAAAAAAGACCTACCCGGGGATCGAACCGGGGACCTATGTAAAATTCGTTGATCTAATCAATAGACGTGGACTAAGTGAGCTCCGCTCTTCGTCACGAGGGTCTAGTTTGATAACAATGGGGAAAATGATGCTCCTAATGTGATGACATTTACATGGGAAACTGATTGAAGAATGTGTTCCTAGCCATGTGGGAAAATTCAAAATGAGTTCTCCCCGGGAACATTATAGGTTTCTGGATGACTCTATAGTGGTGATTGTGGTTCAGTCGTGTGTGGTCTCTGATGGGAAACTGAGTGCTGATGAGATGTCCGAGGACGAGGAGTGTGCCGCGGCAGAGAGGGAATTAATAAGAAAGAAAATAAAAAAGGTGGGAGGGGTTGGTGATGATGGTTTTGAAGGAATATATGTTTGTTTTCCTCAGCTGAGCTCAGAAGTTTCCTATATAGTGTTGGAGGAATATATGTTTGCTTTCCTCAGCTGAGCTCAGGAGTTTCCTATACAGTGTTGGAGGAATATATGTTCGCTTCCCTCAGCTGAGCTCAGGAGTTTCCTATACAGTGTTGGAGGAATATATGTTCGCTTTCCTCAGCTGAGCTCAGGAGTTTCCTATACAGTGTTGGAGGAATATATGTTTTCTTTCCTCAGCTGAGCTCAGGAGTTTCCTATACAGTGTTGGAGGAATATATGTTTGTTCTTCTCAGCTGAGCTCAGGAGTTTCCTATACAGTGTTGGAGGAATATATGTTCGCTTTCCTCAGCTGAGTTCAGGAGTTTCCTATATAGTGTTGGAGGAATATATGTTTGTTCTCCTCAGCTGAGCTCAGGAGTTTCCATAATAATCATGCAATTCGGGTATAGAAACGAACAATAATTTTCTCAAAATTTCCACATTCCAACGCATGTAGTTGTCCATGTGCATATACTCCTCTCATACTGGTTTTCGATCCGGTCTTTTTTCAGCGTCGGTCCGCGGACGTCTTGGCGACGGTTTGCATATCCCTCGGGGAAATTGATGGCTTAGAGTGGCCTCCTCCTGGTGGTGCTTCTGCTGTCCTTACGTCACTCCGCGAGACGGTAATTAGCGACTTTACAGTTGACACGCTTGATCAAAGTGAGTGTAGCTGTTGGTCTTTTCCATTTCGCGAGAGTGGCGTACAGGGATTGTTGGAAAATGTGCATATGTTGGTGACAATGTGGAAATTTCGAGAAATTCTCAAAAATTTCCGGTACATTTCTTCCCGGCTGAGAAAAGCGAACATATTTTTAAGACTGCATGC